TAATTTGCTACCTTAAGCACATAAAAAATACCTGTTCCTACCTGTGTGTTTTCTTTAATTATTAAGTATGTAAAAAGGGCAGTAAAAGTGAAGTTACACTGAATAACCACTGAAACACTTCTAATTATTCACAATGAAGAAAATATCATAGATCAAAGATAAAACACTACTTAAAGAAGCTCAGGGTACACAGAACAAAAAGGACATGGTTATAGGCCACTTCCACCTATAAGATATGGCACTGGCACACTCTTCTTCCAAGACATGGAAACTCTGCAGATTAATCAACTGTAAAATGGTCGGAGGTAACCATATCATTTGAATCTCAAAATTATGAACCATCATAACTGGACTTGCTTTCTTCTCACAACTTTTGACACTCCTAAGAAACTAATCTTACCCACAGATTCTAATATTTTAACTTGTTGTATCAAAGACAAATGCAGATAATATTCTGGAATTCCATGCAAATGACCCAATTTAATAGTAAGAACTTTAGTTCCTCTGAGTTAGTAGCAAGCTAAATATTTCAAAAGGAATGTTATTCTACAAATGAGAAAGAAGAAAAATCCAAAACAAAACAGCATCAAGAAAAGGGAAATAGCAGGAGAAACAAAGCACTGACAAACAACTTTAAAGTTATCATTTTACTTTGGCTTCACGGCACAAGGAAATATCTGAGACCCAATTAGCCCTCTCACTGTAAACAAATATAAAAGTGCACACAAAAAAATAGGAAATTACTATTTTAAGAAATAAGACAATAGGTAGTACAGGACTGTGACCCCCTAAAAGACAGAAAATAAAGTGAGCCCCATGACAGCCCTGGCTTTTCCCCAGAGGCTTTAGGAGTAAAAATTTAGGAGGAGACCTAGAAGACTATGGAGCAAAAAGTGGGAGACCAAACAGAGTACAGCAACATAACCCCGATACCAAAACCAAACAACAGGATTAGCACATTTTAAATTTAGAAATAGTGGGGAAAAAAATTAAAAACCAATATTCCTCATGAACACAAAATCCTTAACCAAATATTAGCAAATCAATTCCAGCATTATATAAAAAGCATAATACATCATGCCTAAGTGGGGTATATGTTAAGCATACAAAGTTAATTCAACATTCAAATATCAATGTAATTGCCACATTAACAGAATAAAGGAGAAAAGTCCTATGATCCACATCAATACGTGTAAGAGAAGCATTCAGAAAATGAATAGGCAAACCATAAACTAGAAAATATTTACAACACATAAATCTGAAAAGGACTCGTATACAGAATAACTCTCTTACTACTCAACTATAAAAAGGAAAACAACCCAGTTATTTAAAAAAAAAAAAAAAAATGGGGGGGGGGGGGGGGGGGGGGG